TTCACCACAATTACGCTACATCGCAACTGTAGTTTCATTTCAACCAATACTTTGATTACCTCTTCCCAAACTTTCTCTTCATTGAAGTTGGTGTAGGAACAATACATACTAGTACCTAAGCACGTGCTAGTTTAATACCACTGTGCGAGAGTATAAGTGTGTATACATATATGTAGATATAAATTTGAAAAATTTGCTCAAAGCCACTGTCATTACCAAACGCCTTACATACACACACATAGCTAACTTCCGGCGTGCTATAACAAATGCAAAGAATTAATCATTAATGTTCTGCAACGCAAACAAATTTCTAATTTAAGCGTAAATGTTTGTGCATTCCACTCACAGCAGCTACCACGCGAAACAAATACAGCTAATACATACAGAGAAATAGTAGCATAACTCTGCAGTGAAAAATTTAGCCAACTGGGGTTGGTTCTAGTTTTGAACTAGGATTTTATGTAACTAGTATTTAATGGTTAAAAATATACCAGTTTGGTAAATGTTGGCGAATAGAGAGCAACCATGATTCCTCAATTTAATTATTATATTTGGCTTTTTTGCGCTGTAACTTTTCACATCCGAGTTGATTGTCGACTAATTAATGATGCCTGGCAAGGTGAATAACCAGAATTATTGAAAATAATTTTTTTTAGTTATGATAGCCTGCCAAGTGAATATATTTCTAGCACGTTAGAAAAACTTTTCAGAAAAATTCTCAGCGACGGCTTGGAATAAATTGTAGGCCTCTCCGTTGTGTCGTTCACCACAAAATCGTGCAGAAGCTCGGCCGGAAATCGCATTCAGATTGTGCTCTTGAATGCTCGTGCAATTGGCCACTAAATATTGCAAAATATCACATGACAGTTGAGCTAGTTGTTGTTGCAATTTTACACTAGTAACTTTCTAGTTAATAATTCATATCTTTCCCCATCTGACATTCTTAGCCTCTGTTTATGCCAACGCCGGTGTGGTAGCGTTAGTGAAAGACTTTGATGGTAAACATAACCTCAGGGCTTGTTGTCATATCCTTCAATGCGCGCATATAACACGCGCCAAATTGCCATTATTCTGATGTTGATTTTTTCCCACTTCAGGAGATGTTTGTACTTCTCCCTCTCTATAAATGTACCCACTCGTCGCACTCAAGCTTCTACCTACTACAGCCTGGTGATTGTGTGGCAAGTGTGGAAACAAATTGCGCGAATATTATCACAGAATTAACAATATGATGGCTAAGTGAGAAGGAAGAACAAAGGCATAATAATAATAATAAAAATAATCAAGCAAAACATAAAAGGATATCAGGGAAAATGCAACGGATATGTTGTTTATTTGGATTGAAGAAGCTTGCAATTAAAGCAATTGTTCGGTTGAGTGGGAGGAAGTTGAAGTGATTTAAAAAATAATAAAGAAGAAATCAATATTATTTCCTTCGCAATTAATCGTGTTTTCGTTCCGGAATCTTTGTTCCTTGAAATTAAATTTTTTTGTCTCATCACTCAATTTTTTATAGCCATTTCGCGTCAACCGAAGATACAAAGTCTACCTGATTTAATAGACTGCGAGGTCCTTCTCTACCACAGCTTAAAACGACGGAAATTACATTGAATACTTTCAAAGCTGGAGCGTTTTCATTCCTTTGGACGTCATGCTCTAGCCAATGTAGCCGCTGTCTCTTCATTCACTGATCATTTTCATAATACCTTCGCATGTATCTCACATCTTATTGTTGCATTGGCTGTCGCTTAAATCGCTGAAAAGGCGAGAGACTATAAGTCTTCCGCAAAACATTTCTTTCGAACCCTCCTGATTTGGATTCAACTTCGAATGGCTGGATAGGTCCTTGTCGATACTGATAGAGGTTGTGGTGGGCATCAGCCTATATAATCATGTAAGCTTTTGAGGAGCTACCGAACTCAATTAAAGCAGCGTTTAGCCATATGCTGTTTTGTTGAGAACTGTTTTCATGAGTTTGGCGCGTGATAAATAACTGGGCAATAGTGTTTTTACCAGTAATGAGGTGAAATATGTTTCCAGTCATCAGTCAATGGTAGTTCATGACAGCGCTCTTGAAATAAGAAATCATTATTCCAGTTGAACTTTACCAAGTTTCGAGCTGATAACACTTTGTCATGTATCGGCTGTCGTAAATTCAAAGTGAAGCGATTTTATTGATGTTCTTGTTAAGTCTTAAATTGCTCCAAGACATTTGACGTCGGTAGAGAGAAATGGCTTTTTAGAGTAGACTCGAATGTGGTATTTAATATTTTCCAGAAAATTATACTAGTTCATTGCTAACACCGAGAGTGGGCAGCAATATGAAGTAGACAACTTATAGCATCCTTGTTACTCCTAAGACGAGTTATCGTCTTCAAAAATAACTCAAATATGGCAATATTGTAATGCACTTCAACTGCTTCTTGGGCAAGCAACTGCATGATTTCTCTTTTCGTTTAGCCAGCTGTTTACATTAGATCCAGAAACCCTTATAGCTCTATTGCTTAAGAGATATTTCTTTATTTTGTGAAATAAACCAGCTTATGACTTATCCTATGGGGCCACTTTTATAAGTGTGTCCGACTTTGCCACACCAATAACTTGAAAAAGGTTTCATCCTAAAACTGAAATAAAAACGACAGGAAAAATTTTTTATTCCGACATTTTTATTTCAGTAATTTTGGCACGTTTATAATGGAATACCGTTAGTGTAGTACATAACTTTTTAGTTCTTTAATACAAATTTAAATTAGTAACAACATCTTAAGTGGCTTAGCCTTGTAAGTATCGCATACGCAGGCATTGCCTTTTGAATAATTTCCAGCGCAGTTGGGATATGTCACCTACACATACTGTTTTGATAATCTCTTCTTCACGGGAATCCCATACGGATTATTCTTGGCTCGGTGAAAGGCTGAAACTCACTCATCAACGCTCTCAAAATATTCTGATTTGAGGCTACCAGACTAGTGCAGTAGCGGCCAAACATACCTCATTGCAATCACGGAAGCCGCAGAAGGTTTGCTTGGATATTTGGCTAAATATGCTTGTACAACCAAGCTGCCGTCATATTTTCATATCATCCTTTTAATTCCAATTACACCAATTAAAAATTACGTTAAAATGCAGGACTAATTCAAACTAGATTTATGTTAAGGGGTTGAATAGGTCTCGAGGGCCAAAATAAAGTCTGTTTTCCCTAATTTTTTTAAAAGATACTAAATAACATACGTTATTTATTTTATTTACATATAAAAGCACAATATGTGGACAATATTTGATAAAATTTTAAATGAAAAATAGTATAGGTTCAGGCCTTGGTAATATCGTCAAGTAGACCGTCCATAAGAGATGCTTTCGCGGTAGTCAAGACAACTTTTTCAATTTTTAACTGAAAATAAAAATCAAAATTTTTTCTAAATGTAGGTGAATTTTCCTTGTCCCTGAATAAAGAAAAATCAAAAAAAGAAAAATTGAATTTTTTGCAGCGTTTTTTACAAAAAACGTCATTTTTTGCATAAAATTAGGCCACATATTGGCTTGTAAAATTAGCTGTAATCGAAAATAAAATAAATTCTTCATTCAGGGACTCCAAAACATGCTTAGAAGAAGTGTGGAAAATTTTAACTCAATCGCTTTAATATTCGTTGAGAAATTTTGAATACCGATTTTGATAAAGTGGTTTTAAGAAAAACGGGGTTAAAATTTCGCCATCGATCAAGTCATGACAGAGAAGGCGGGTTATAAAATTCTCTAATTTCTACAGTTTCGTTTTGATCGACTTGAAACTTGGGAAAATATTTCTGACACTTTGCACTTTTATACAAAAAATTATCAAAAAAATTAATTTTTTGAAGCTTTAAGACCTTTGTAACCCCTTGAATGCAAAATTTCCGTGGCATGATCTAGCGAGTAGAGGTCGCACTCTCTTCACAATATACACGTTGCAGTCTTCCCCCCGGTCTACGGTAAAATTTATGCTTTCAGCAAAAAAAAACCAAAGGTGGCTTAACTAAAGGCAGCTTTGGAGGACGCTGCAGTTTGACGCCAAAAAACCAAGAAATCCATTCCACAAATCTTACACAAATTCATCATCAATATCATAACTTGCATGCCAACTGGGTTATGTTTAATGGGTGTTCACGCTAGAGAAATTGAATGCTTTCCGAATGCTTTTTGCTGAAGCTGCAGAGGCAAAGAAGAAAAGCACTACCTCCATCACTGCCCAGCCTTAAGCACCATGCGACTTGAGTATATAAGGCACAAAAAATGCTACTTACAGCTGAGAACGGCCCGGACGTATCATAATGGGCCTAACTTTACTTTAGGCCTAAGTACAAAAGTCACGCTGAAAATCATATTTAAAAAAATCGTTTATATCTTTTGATGTTATATAAAACCAACAAACAAATTTTTTACATTTTTTACTTATTTATTAAAGAAAACAACAACAACGCCAAAAGAACATATTGGACCATTCTATAGTGAAGCAATTAAATTTTTATTTTACTGGTTAAAGGTAAATACATTTTTTTTTGGCCCCCTCCACCCTCCTCAAAAAAGTACATGCATACCTTTTTGTGCCTGTAGAAAGTTTTGTATGGTATAAATACTTGATATCTGCTTAAGACGCATAAATAAATAAGACAAAAAAAAAGGAAAAAACAAGAGATTAAGTAGTCGTGAAATACGTGCAGGGACTCAAGAAGTGAACTCGTTAAAATAACACTGAGCAGCTAAAACGTCACCCACCGAATAACCACGAAACTAAGAAATGCCATGAAAATCATTGACAATCGCTTGCCAGCCTTGCAAAGCACGTTTGTCACGGAAGGCGGAGCATTAAAGTAGACGCGATGCTAAATATTTTATAAATTTCTACATTATTATATATGTATGTATGTATCTACGAGAATTTACTTTACGCTTATGTCCACTTTGCGTTATCTGCTTGTACATAACTGACATATCTATGTATATCTACGATCATACGTACTTACCATTTATAACATTGAGCATCACAGTCACACTGGGACTATTTGACGGGCTACATGTGTAATTGCCATTATCACGTTTTTTCGCTGATTCAATGATTAATGAGCCGGTCTGTATTTGCCAGATGCATACCAAACGACATGGAAGATACAAACGATGTCGATGTCAGTGTCAGCGGCGGTGACACACAAGCACCAGCGAAGTCAACGTGCCAAATTCACCACACGCCATCACCATGAGAGCGGCGTTTGTTGTGCGTATATATGTGTGTGTGTGCGTGTGCCAAGGACATGTCACGTATGTATATTCATAAAAATCCAACAGAATGTTTTGATAGTTATTGTTGTTGTTGTTGTTGTTGTTGTTGTTGTAGTTGTTGTTGTTGTTGTTTTTGTTGTTGTCGTCAACATTGTTGTTGTTGTTGCATGTGAAAAGAAGATTGAGATTAAAACAATTAGTTTAGTTAGTTTTATTCGAATTATTCCGTTTGGATTAAAAATACATATATATATGAATGTATGTACTCGTCTACTTATAATAATAATAATAACAATAAGCCCAACAATTGCTCTCCACCCGCCCAACCGATACGAGAGGCGACGTCCCATACGGAATATGCTGAGCCATGATTGGGAAGCGTTTCTCAAATGTCGAGATTTACAGAAAAACTAATTTTTCAACAGCTGAAATTAAGTAAATATGGAATTTTAAAATTTAATTGTTCAGAGAAGTAAGAATAGTTTTTTAATGCTAAAAAGTGAGTCTGAGAGATCAAATGAGCCGCAATGAATGTTAAAATTGTGACATGCTCTTCATAGTAAAAGCCTAAGCTGCCTAGACACACGAGTTGGAACGCTAATGTTTAGCCCAGATAATAGCCATAAACTTAAACTTTATAATTCTAAGAAACAGCTTAGGGATATGAAATTCTCGTAGGTTTCAAAATGCTTCCACCGAACATTGACTTTTCAACTACTTGCCTATTAAACACGATATTTGAAAAGAATTGAATATTTGCAAATATACATACCAATTTGGAGAATCAAGTACCAAAATAAAAATAAGAAATAAAAGTCATAATTTAAAAAAAAAAATTTTTGATTTAGGTGAATTTTATAAAAAGTCAGGTCATAAAAAATAGTAATAAATCTTATACGAAATATGAAATGATAAAAACTTTTCTTCCCACTTAGGGCTTTATGTTGTTATCTGCCTGCAATAAGGACACATCAAGAATCATTGCTTTTACGTATTTAAACTAAACCAAAAACATATACAAATATTGCATTATTCATACCAACGCATTTAACAAGAGCAGTCATATTCTAAAGTCTTCAGCTGCAAAATTTAACAAACAAATAAATACAGCAAAAGAGAAATAATTATTCGTGTTTACATTTGTGCTCTCTGCTGAGTTTTATGGCATTTCCTTGGCTTGCAGTTATTCGATATTCCCTAATTGGCTGTCATTGCCTGTTGTTGACAGTTGCCTTTTGTTGCCTGTTGTTGCTGATGATGGTTAATAATAAATATGGATTAAATGCTGCTGCTGATATGCGACAAAGGAACAGGTGACTTGGCATTTCGGCTGAGCCAATGTTCAAACAAAAATATTTGGCTATGAAGGCAGGCAATTTATGGCAATGCGACAATGTTATGTACATACATAACTGCAGATAAGCACATAATTTTATGTTAAATGTAAATACATAAATGATGAGTAATGCATAGATTTATTGCTGGGCATTTATGATAATACGTATTATGTCCTAACGAGATTGGCAGATTATTTGATTTGCTTGTGCACGTTTTCTTGTGAACTCAAGGAGTTATCTACGTAGCTACATATACTTCTGTATGTATGTATGAATATATATACATATATTTACAAAACGAATTTAATGTATGTGCTAATGAAAATTTTTAATAAATAAATTGAAAAACTTAACTAAAGTTTATTAACCACTGCAGTTTGGGAAATTTGGAGTAAAATGGAAATCTGCATTTTCTTTGAATATCGCATTTGAAGCTCTCACAGCTGCAGTGTTTACTTTCAACAAAATGAAAATTTCACTGCCAAGCAAAAGCAAAATCGAACGGTGTTTTATTTTCCTTCTCGACGAGACACTTTTTAGTAAAAACAAATTTTCTGCGCTTGTAGCTGATGGTCTAATGAGGGCACACTCCACCGTTCGCTATAACTTCGATATTTATTCTTACCCCTGGCATCATGCGGCTGCCGGCTTGTCTAGTCTGCGGAAAGTGGAACTTTAGATGCGATTTCTCGAGATCAATAATATGAAGTTTCACCAACATATGCCAGTGCCCAGTATGCCAAGAAGAATGGAAATAGTACTCTTTCTGTAAAGCTCTGCTGCTTTTATTTTTCCTGCAGCAGTAGCTTGGCAACAAAGCCTTTCTGAAAATTCGATTAACACCATACAGCCATTTACCAAATCCAATTTTTTGTTCGCGGTGCCACCAACATCCAAAAAAAAAGTTATGGAAAATTAATTTAAATGAAAAATAAAGTTGAATTTTCTAATTACAGTCGCCCCTCGGCAGGGAATGTCAACCCCTCCGAGTGTATTTCAGACATGAAATAAAGGCTCCTCGTAAAAAAAACCATCAGCCGCTCAGAGGCGGCTTAGTGTAAACTGTAGGTTCCTTAATTGGAAGAAACATCAATACGCAAAACCACAAATCGGAGGAGAAGCTCGGCTCGAAAATCGCTTCAGCGGTTGCAAAAATCCAATTTTTCGTTACACAAATGGATTTAAAAGAAACAAGATCTGATCAGCTGGATGGGATACGATGCAGAACAGACTCATTGCTCATCAAGGACCCATATTGAACAGTCCGCTTGTTAAGTATCAGCTGGGCTTTTCTCAGTTGCTATAGCTATATCAAAATATTTCTGGGACAGGGGATAAGGCTGGTGCTCCACCAATATTGCGTCTTCTGTACGCTTTTAAGCTAAGATTTATTTGAGCTTTGACATCTTCAATGAAACTTTCGGTGTACCAAATAAGCCTCAATATTAAATGCAACTCAACCCTGGACACACGCAAATACTAAACGCTGAGTATATCATTCGCGGAAGAGATGGCCAACCTCACGCCAACAACCGCTATAATAACCGAACACCGTTTTAGGAGAACTTACGGTAGAAGAATGGGCTGCTTCTCAAACGGCTGCTACCGCAGGTGCAGGAACACAGATAAGGAGGGAACGGTTAAATGATACCTTAGTCATTGCTCTGCTCATAGTGCAGTTCGATGTCGGCAAATTTCTTCTTCGATAGCCTTGCAGAGCTTGCGCCAGTAAGCGTCATTAATCTGCTGAATTTCATCAACCCCACCAAATGGTTTGAGCATTTGAAAAGTTGAAAAAAATCTTCTTAAGAGTACCAATATAGGTAGCACAGCATGCCAGGAGGCCTAAGTGTGCTTGATCAGGGTTTTCTAATCGCAGAACCTGTTAAGTAAACTGATGAACAGAAGAACATCTGATGTAATTTCGCTCCTCTCAATTGGCTGAAGAGATTTTGGCAGCAGATGAGCATTTTTTCTTCGCGGTAGCTACGTTAATAATCATTTAAAATCAAATGCAAGTCCAACGAACGATTATTTAGCGCGAAATGTGATTGAGCGGCATCACTGATCCGTTTTTCTTCGAAATCTAGGACGGAGTTGCCGTAACCGTTAAAGCCGTTTGTTACGATGTTGTTGCAACCGATTTTGCAAGTGGCACTGTATTGAAACAGCTGGTAGGGAGGAGCCAGCCATCCAACCAACAATTCAGAGGCAATTCATGAATTAAAATACGAAATTAAAGCCGTCATTAGAAATTGAAAGTTTTTGGAAGAACAGAATAGGTAACTGCAGGGAAAAAAGTAATATTCACATGAAGAAAAAGGTATTTCACCATTAACAGAAATGCTGGGGCTTTTCCATAAGGGCAAGATCATTGCATTTTTATTTATTTTTCTCACAGTTTTATACGGTATAATTTCTCTTCGCTCACCCGTTAGTTTTCCTTGTGTTTGATGCTCATATTGCTACATTTTAATGTGTTTCTTTGACATTATTTATATTTTCAAGTTAGCTTGGTTCACATAAAAGTGGTTGTCGATTTGGGAACATTTACAAACTTCTAAAAAAAATCAGCAGAATTTCGACAAAGAATCACCAGACTGCCTGCGGGTCGTCCTATGAGACACAGTCAGGTTCTCAATAATAAACAAATGTCCCCTTTCCCTCCCATTTTGCCCTTCCCATATATGAATTTCTTAATCAAAAGTTTTCATGTGCCAAGCGACAAACAAAGACATCCGAAAGAAACTATCTCGGTAGCAAGCTGGTCTGTCATGCAGATCGTGTATATGTGACCAGCGGTCCAAGCATAGCTTTAGCTTGCACTATAAATATTTTTAATTGTCTCTTTATCTTCCTCTTATACTTTTAAAAATATCTCGGCCAAAAGCTACTTATGGTATAAATATTCTGTTAAAATATTCTCTTAAAATATTCTGTTAAAATATTCTGTTAAAATATTTTGTTAAAATATTCTGTTAAATTTTCTGTAAAATTTTCTGTCAAAATATTCTGTTAAAATATTCTACTAAACTTTCTGTTAAAATCTGCTCTTAAAATATTCAGTTAAATTATTCTGTTGAAATAATCTGTTAAAATATTCTGTAAAAATATTTTGTTAAAATATTCTGTTAAATTTTCTGTTTCTACTAAAATTTTCTGTTAAAATATTTTGTCAAAATAATCAGTTAAAATATTTTGTTAATATATTCTGTTAAATTTTCTGTTAAATTTTCTGTCAAAATATTCTGTTAAAATATTCTGTTAAAATATAATGTTAGAATTTAATTTTTCTGATTATTTAAATATGTTCTAAATACGAGCCAAATCGAAAATATAGTGCATTGCGCAGTAATATCTCGTTTTCAGCGCCACCTAGGGAGCAAACTTTTCGCCGTATATCCTACACAATGACCGAAACGAAAACCCGATGTTATTAACTTTTCTCATTTGCCTTGAGAAGCAACCAAATAGTTTCAAATTGTATTATAGAAATCCCTTCTACATAAAAATTTCCAAAAGTACTGTGCATAGTATCGAGATCGGTTCAACCGTTGCATATTGCCAATTTACAAATATAAATATTTATGGGTTATAATTGAAATCGTATTTTGGAGAATATTTATATTAAACTCATGTACGCACACCTTCATATACATCCAGTAATTTTAATATAACAACATAAACATTTACCGCCCACCTCCTCTCATACGACTTACCGTACTATGTGAATCGCCTTCAATATCGGGTATATTTCGATCGACTTGTGTACGATATCGAACAGAATCGCCGGTTATTTGTTCCGTGCTATGATACCACATTATAAAGGTGGGTGGTTCGAGGGCGCCACGTACGATGCAACGTAACACAACAGTGCTGCCAGCCTTGACCAGACGCTCAGGACCGCCAACGATTTCGGTACGTGGCACTAAAAATAAATAATTGAAAAAAAAAAAAATGTAAAAAATTAGAAGAAAATACAGATTAATATGTTAAGAGTATTGCATAAATGTAAGCTGCTTTCAAGCAGAAGAAATGCTGGAAAAGAAGAAGAAGAAGAAATGCTTGTAGATAATTTCGTAGGAAAACTACTACAGGTGAAGCGTCAGTAGCAGCAGCAGCAGCAGCAGCATCAGCTTGTCACACTTTCTAACAATTGAATGTGAAGCCATAAACTAAATTAACAACTGCCTCGCACGTACGACACGTAGAAGCAACACGCACGTACATAAATACATGCATATACATACTTAAGCTTATACACGTACATACAAATAAACAGACTTCATCTTCGATGAGGTGTTATATGTGAATTTTCAAACATTTCCTGCTGCATACCTTTTGTATGTATTTGTACGTTCACATGTTCGTATGTTTGTAAGTAAGGTAACTCAATTGCGTGAAATAAAAATAGATGAAGATTTCGAAGATTTCACATTTGCAATGTGGCAAAAGAAATCAGTTGGCATTAAGATAGTAAAGCGCAGCTGTTGTTACAAATCTTTTCCGAAGCTCCACACCCAACAGCTGTGGCATTAACACGTAGCACATAACATTCGAAGGCGAACACGAAGACGTAGACGGAGACGGAAGAGTGAATACGAATTTGCTTTGTCTGTTGACGTGTTCAAAATAGGAAAATTTATGTATCGCTACATATGTGTGTATATGTATGTAGATATATTCGTATTGCATAGGTAACAGTTTATATCAATCTGCACGAGCATTCCAACACTATACGTATATACATATATTTATAAGCATACGAACAGATGAAGCATTCACGATTGTATTTCGTTATAGTTTCAATAATAACGTGTTGAATATATTTTTTTTATGAAGTCTTCGTATATATGTATACATTTATATGATTGTATGCTATGAACATAAGTATCCATCTTCGTGTTAAGCACGATTATTTAAATACACCAAGGATCCAAGGTTTTTGGAAAAAGAAAATATTAAATGGAACTCGATTTTTATAAATTTTACTCAATTTTTTTTTTTTTTCAATTTCAGATATTTAAAAATTCTACTCCTTTTTTAATTTAAAATATTCGCGAAATATCAATTTCGTAACAAATTTTGGACCATAACTTTACGGTAAATACAGTTGTAATTTCTATGACTTTTCTTATGTTTTTTGATTTTTGATTTTGTTGGCTTTCAAATTGGTTATAAAACAAAGCCTTTAGCTCCACAATTTTAATGTTTTTTTTGCGAAGTTTAATACAAGTTAATTATTAATTTTTTTAACCTAAAGCGCTTTTCAATAATGGGTGTTATTTTGAATCGTTTGCTATTCCTGTAGATATCCCTTTTGAAGCTGTCCTTTTCGACATTTGACAAATAAAACCTAAGCCAATAATAAAAATAAAACAATACAGGTTTCAAAACGGTAAAAATGGTGAAAACCTGAAGAGATGGTTTGTCAAATTAAGACACGTTTCGATCATCCTGAAGCAACTTGCCCGACCGCAATACAGAAATGCGCGGAAAAAACTGAAAATATTGTTGCCGTATCCCAAAGTGTTGAAGAAACCTGAAGTAAAAGGTGAATTTTTAAGGAGCTATTAGAAATTAAAAAAAAAAAAATCAGAAAAATTCATAAAATGTTTGAGGATTATTTCATGCAAATGTTGACCGTGACTGCACCTCAAATGGTCCATCCGCTTAGTCCAATTTTGGCATCCCCTTTCCAACATTTCGGCCGGCATCTCACGAATAAATGCGTCAATGTTGTATTTTGGTATCTATAAATCCTTTCACCTACCGGATCACTGTAATGTTTTTCAAGCGGAATCGGTGGCTATACATGAGGCTGTCAACTGTCTGAGGTAAAGGGTACTCTCGGACAATCGTATCCATATATTTTCCAATAGCCAGGCTACATTACCAGGCTTGGAGTCTGTAACAATAAAATCTAAAACCGTAGATGACTGCCGCAAATCGCATAACGCAATGGCCAAGCAGTTCTCTGTAAACTTGGTATGGATACCTGGATATAGCATGATACCGGATAATGGCATGGCGGACGACCTTGCAAGGAAGGGCACTTCCTTTCCACTTACGTAATAATGGAAGAGCCTGGGGATGCCCCTATCTACTTGTAAGCTCAATGTAAAATAGTTATTCACCAAGGATGGTAATTTAAGATAAAAAAGTCTAATTACATGCAATGTGGCCAAGACAGTAATAAGTCTTCTTATAGCACATGTTCTATTCGGCAGGCACGCAGAGAGACTGAGCGTACCAACCAACGATTTCTGCGGAAGTTGCAGAGAAGAAGAAGTATCTGAAACTTTAAGGCACTTTCTATGTGAATGCTCCGCGCTTTGGAGGAGTCGGTTGAAGAATCGGGGGGCGATAACCTTTAGAGACCTAAGCGATATAGCGGGGTTTGATTAGAGGATAGGGGTCATTAGGATCCTCAGTCGTATCACAATGGGCCTGCTTTAGGGCAAGGTGTGCTGATGCCCAGCAACTACTTCAACCAACCAGAAAGTCAGAATAGAGAAGAAACAATGTAAGTTTTTTTTTCTTGGGCTATATTTAGATTTTCATATATTATATTATACATATTTATTAAAAATTCTATTTTCTTATATGCATATTAAGATCTTAGTAAGCTTTTGCCATTTTTTATATTATATTCTTAAATGATTTAATTTAATTATTATTATTTATTCTTTTTTTTATTTCTTGCAATTACAAAATATTATTCCACACAATCACTTGTGCTATTAAATATTTATCTCTGCAAAAAAAAATAAACTATATATATGTATGTATTCTTGACGTCCAGCTCACTTAATCCGCATAATCGCTTTACATTTCCGACATACAAATTGAATTTCCGCAATTTTTTACCACCACTTGTGGCAAGCATTATTATTCTGTGCCACATACAAGCCTCTTGTCATTATCATATTTTTTTACACTACTTTCCCCGGGAGATTTGTGTATAAGTACATATGTATAATTTGTGCATAAAAAATTCACTTTAATTTCCCTCATATATTTTTACTGGCAATTACAATAACAATAAGGCTGTCAGATTGCTCTATAATGCACGCACGTAGTTCTTCTTTTCTATTACATCCATTCATAATTACATACATACGTGTATAGGCTCTTGTGTGTGTTTGTAGCTATATGAATATGTCCGCGCTTTATCCCTGCAAACCACTTTGCTGTGCCTTTGCACAGTTCACAGGTGGGAAAGACTACTCTTATGTAAATAAACGAATATGCAAAAATATCAAACAACCCCGGAGGAAAAAAGAGTGGTACTTATTAATCTTGTTTCCTTAGTCTACAATTCGTTGTGAGAAACCGAATTTCATTATTTTTAATTCGGATCTCGTTATGGTACTAGAGAACTGAAAAGATGAACGACTCTTTTGTAGATAGAAAAGTAGCTTTTCTATGGCTTTTTTGATTTTTAGATAGGCAAAATAGTCGACAACTTCAAAGTTACGAGTATTGACTGTCTGTCGTCCCATAAACAAGTTCTTGCTTTCAAATATACGATAATTAAACTGTCTACCTCATAATAATTGTGGGGTTTTTCTTCTATGAAAAAGACAAATCGGCCTTAGATGTTAATCGCCTCTTACTCTTACGCCCTTCACCGTCATATTACAGCAACGCGGTCAACAACCCATGCATTATTTGCCTGTTTTTGCCATTTCCGAATTTGCTCATTGCTCCTCCTTACTGCGGTTTATGGTTACGTTGCGGGATCTGTCACAACAGAATGTGGGTAACTCGCAATGTTTTGCCATAATTCCATTTTTCCCAGCTCATGATTTCTGAACTACAGGATGAGTTTGTTGAGAAGCGTTCCTTTCTGGTACGTCTCTTGATTGCAACTAGTTCACTACTCGAATCGTTGTTAGAACCTGGGATATTAGTGCAAAATAAATACTGTTCGCTTGTCTTCAGCTTATCATCCTAAAGTTGATTTGGAATAAGGCTTTACCGTAAAATAAATATTTTTTTTCCGCTATTATCTCGCGCTAGAGACAATTTCATTCCAGGTGCGTAAGTATGAAACCGGAATTTGCCTATAAGTTGCGCTAGATGTCAATGCAGTTGCCGACACATCACGTCAGCGGTGCCTTGATATTGTATGGATATCCGACAAAAATTTCAACCCCACGAATTTCATTCAGTACACTAACAATACCTCTTAATTAAGAGCTACTGAAACCTGTTGAAGCTGTCAATCCTCAACGCTACTGACAACAAATGAACCGACTCGGATCGAGTTTTGAATGAATTGCGACCCGAATACCAACAAAGACAACACAAGGTGATTTTTCGTTGTGGGCCGTCATTTAGTCTGCATACTTTATTCTGCGACCTGGCGCCCAGCTCTTTCGATAATTTTATTATGGATAGTTTTTCACGGCGGATGACCTTTTGACAAACTTCTTAGCTTTTTCGTCAAGGGTTGCTTGGATTCTAGCTCATATTATTAAACTCTGGTAGTCAACCCATCACCCATCGATGTAGATGTTATTCGTAGCACAGATGGGTAGTATGTTCCTGTGCCCTCGGAACCTTCTTTCCGAGCAAAATCGTGTGGTATGTGGTTTATTTTGTTCCCACTTCCTCTGTATATTGAGCTGCGCCCGAAAGATCTGGCAAATAATTCACGTCAGTATATCTATCTCATGGGAGAATTGGTGGTAGGTCAAGTTGCTTGTAAATACATCTTCCCAAATTATGTTATGATTTTTACTACTGAAGTTGCTTCTCAATTATTTTTTTGCATATAAACAGTATAAATATGTATATTTATATATACACCTGTACAAATATTTACAGTGTCGATGGCCTGTATTTCGCGCTTCGATCATGTAAAAAAGCTTAAAAATACCCATTTGACTTTTATTCTGTACCTGCGTGTGTGGATGAAAA